AAGCTCGTAATGAGAACAGCAACTACAATCATTTTTTTATCGTTTTTATCGTTTTTATCGTCTAAGTCGCCGACTTTATTGCTAATTTCACTAGTTATACCGAAATTTAATAAACGAAACCGGAATTCTCGATGACATTTAGACATTATTGAACGATATAACGGCACGTCTTTTTTAAGCGGATTCCCACGTACTTTTTTCCCTATATCCGTTTTCTCGAATAATGCTTCACGTTCCGCCTGGAGCGTTCATTCAGACTTTAGAGAAGTAGGTTGACTTTTTTGGACGGGTTCGAGCTCGGTCTGCCGCATTCGTTTTTCCTTAGTTTGAAACTTGAAACTGGTTTGGATGTTGCATAGATTAGAGGAAAATGCGTGGTCACGGTCTGTTGGGAAATTTATCGTGGAATGATTTCGATCGTTACACTTTTAACACACTCTCTGCTACACTAGAAGTACCAGAATGGGTAAAACGGTTGTAATTTTTTAAAAGTAAAACCTTATATTCTTTATTGTTTACTGGAAACTTTTTTCCATAATTTTCGTTAAATGAACTCTTGACGGCAGAAATATTGCTTTATTTCTTTCTTCTGCTTTTCTTCGTTTTATCATGTAAAAGATAAAAATTATACTAGGAATGTCAAATAACTAGGAATATCAAATTTCAGTAAAGAAAGTTTCAACGACGTAAATGACGTGAATTAATTGCGGTGCATTGGTTTTCGCATGCCAGATGAAAATAAGAAAATTATTCTTAATGAAAATTAACTAGGGACAAATTTTTCTTGTATATGTTTTTATAATTCTTTATTCTGTTATATTAAGTATTCTAGTTCAGTTTTATAAAACTTCCATGGTTTAGGTTTATTTATATATTGTTTATTGTATATTTATATATCGTTTATTTATATTTTGTATATGTTTTTATAATTCTTTATTCTGTCATATTAAGTATTCTAGTTCAGTTTTATAAAACTTCCATGGTTTAGATTTATTTATATATTTTATACATAACTCTCGAAAAATCTGCATTACGAACTTTCTCATATTTTTTTCTTTCTTTTCTTCTTGCGAGAAAAACTCTATCGTCTTGTGTTCAATTTTCCAGTTCAATCTTCTAAAACGGCAAACGTTTTTCGTATTTTTTGAAATAATTCTCTATCCTCTTGCATCTAGTTGTTTCATTTCAATTTTATGAAACTCGCACGGTAATAATTCTTCAATGTCGTAAAAGAAAGCGTATTACGAATTTTTTTTTAAACCTCTCGACAACTCTTCAACAAGTTCGATTTTGTTTCAAAGCAGCGTTTGTAAGAGAAACCACATCACTTGTAGAATGATCCGGTAAGCCTCTCGAGAGAGGAGTATTGCCTGATTATCAGTTCATTAATGATTATCAGTTGATGAATCCAATAAGGTTAATATTAATAGGAAACGTGAAAAGTACGACCGAGTTTCGAAATTCGCGTGTGCCGCTCGGTGCTCCAGATTTCCCAGAACAAGCCGATTATCATGAAAGATGGATGGTACCGCGAATAAAAAAAATGTAGGACATGTCGAGTAAAATCGACGATTACCCAAATAAAATTGATTTGCAAAATGAATCAAAGTGTGATATTCTTTCCAAAATGAATCAAAGTGTGAATTTCTTTCCATCTTAAAGTTTTAAGCACTTATCGTGCTTACACGTATACGTGTACCTATACATATGCCTATGACACTCGAAATCAGGCCATTGCGCAAGAAATATTGCGCGACCTCGCATAACCTCAATGAATGTTTTTCAGCACGTTTATCCTTTAAACAGTTTTATGCTCGTATTATCTTCAGCACACCTTGTTCATATATTTACAAGTCGATTGTGAAAAGTGAAAAGTGTAATTGATTGCGGATTTTTACGCATTAAACAGTTCTTGTGAGCGTGATTAATGCACGCAGAAATTTGTTTCATCGTAATAAATACTCTACCCTATTTTAGAAACTATTCGTACGCTCGATTGAAAAATAATCGTATGTACATATTTCGAGTGCTCGTGACTTCACAAGAAAGAAATTGCATAGCACATTAGTAAGATGGCGTTGTGAAGAGGAGACTTTAATCTTCAGGATCCTGATGAATTTGCTGCAATCGTTACGAATCGATAAATAACGAGAGACGATGAATGGTTTAAATAGAAGGATGAGGCCGAGAATAATCGCTCAGCAACAGGATTCTACCATTTGGAACACGGGTGATTTTCATCGATGTCTTTCTATAGCAAGAAAAATCTTAGCTTTGTGGAGCATTCCCATCTCTAAGAATCTAAAATGTGATCGAAGGTGTGTTTAAAAAGATTAAAATGTGATTGAATGTATTTTGATATTTATACTACCGATCAAAAGTTTGGATACACTTGTATCTTTTTACCATACAAGTTCTAAAATTCGTATCAGTGGTAGTGTTAATTAATTAAGTTTAATTATCTCAATTATCACGCGTCATTCATATTTTTGAGACTACAATTTAAAGAATTGCGATGAAAGATTATTTTATAGAAAGCACTGGATTTTCGATATTTTATCATATTATATAACAAATATAATAATGTAAAAAGATCTAATGTAAAAATAATAAGAAATAATATGAAAGTACAAAAAATATAATAATATAGTATCATATCCTCCATACAATTTTGCATTTTTCTATAAGTGTATAAAAATCCGCAGTGTATATATCATTGAGAAGAATTTCGAAATTTGTACTACAAAACCACGTTAAACGTTCAAAACTGGTAATAATTAGAAAGCTACGAATGTTTCTGTGATTCATTGTATTAGGACTCAATAGTAATAGTGATATACTGTAATGTCAATAATGATTTGATGTGGTAGTGAATTGATAATAACATGTTTTTCGTTGTATAATACAATTGAAAAAATATACAGGAATTAACATATAACGAAAGATTAAACTACGAAATACAAATGCAGTAAAAATATACCTAAACTTTTGAGCAGTAACGTAAACATAAATTTATTTACTGCTGATTCTTTGTAATGTAGTGTATACCATCATAGATCACGAGGCTCGAAATTGATATTTAATCGCACGCAGTACAAGGAAAAAATTAAATTATAATATTCCCTGAAAATATTCTCGTAGTATTCTGAAAATTTTTTTAATGCTTTTCACGTTATCTTATATGTTTAAAAATCAGCAAACGTCTCGTGATTATGGATAAAAGTAGATGCAAATTTTCGTTACTTCCACGTTGCTTTGCCTTTTGGAAAATTTCCAAATTGACATAAATGCTTGCGTTTGTTCGACCTTCGTCGCCGCGCGCGTATAATATTATATAATATTATAATATAAAGTATAATATTATAATTTAAAGATATTAAAAAAGTCGAAAATAGAAAAGAAAGTTCGTCTCGTGAGAAAAGGAAAACGGAGGAAGAGATTCCTCGCGAGTGTGTGCCATTTTGCGTTGTCGGTAACGCGAGACAATGTTTTCGAAGGATTTAAAACGTTCTAAGCGTTGATGAAACGTTGTACGTAGCTATTTCAATTTTCCGTTCGCGACATCCGACGACACGCCGTTTGTGTTGCTCTTTCGTTTCTTGATGTACGCCTTGTAATAAAAGTCGCCGAACATCATAATCATGAAGAGATTCTGAGGGATCATCACCGCCGCGGTCCATTTCGGGAAGCCGCAGTCCTCCGTCCAGACCAACAATATAAAGTGAACCATTATTATGCAGAACTGAGTGAGCTGCAGCTGCGTCACGTATTTCTTCCACCAGGGTTTGCTTATTCGTAGCGAGGTGGCCAAATAGTGGGTGTACATCACCACGTGAACGAAGGAATTGATAGTACCTGGTGACAACAAAATTCATTCGTCTGACGTCGAGCATATTTAGAGTACGAGTAACGGTTTTCGTAAATCGTTTCTTCTCAAGGGAAACAATAGCAAAACTAAATGCAACATCATTACTAATATACAGCGTATGTCGTCGTTCGTGGTTATACTGATGTATTTAAATTTTTAAGTACGTCAACCGAGAAAAATGAATTTGTCCTACGAGTAGGTTGCTTTTTAATATGATTGATTTATCAGAGTGTTAAAAGATTCATCCTGTGTGTTTATCATAGATCAGCTAACATTGTTGCTACTGATTAGAATATGAGAAGCGAGCTAAAAAGAAATTTTTAAAAAATCAATTCCGTGACAGTTTTAAACAAACGCATGGTGCGTCAAATTGTACCATTAAACCGAAGTGAAAATTATTCGCTAGTACGAAAGTAACATTGTTGTTGCAGCGAATGTGTTGAACTAAATCACTTACCTAGAAAGGTAATATGACCGCCAGGTAAAAATTTGGTGACTACCCAAGTACCGAAAGCCATGCCTGTGTGATGATAAACGTGAAGGAACGACACTTGCTGCTGCTTTTTTCGAAGAACGAAGAAGACCGTGTCCACCAAGTCGAAGATCTTCATGAGGAAGTAAAGCCAAACCATCCTGGTTATCTGCGAGTTGAGCAATACTGATGTACATATATTTAATTTGAAATTCTGATGAAAATACGTAGACCGAAGATGTTTGTCTGTTTACAAAAAATTTGAAATATAATAAATTTTTATGAGAAAGACATGTACAAATATTAAATGTAAAAGTATCAAAGTATTAAAGAGAAGGTGGAACAAATTTCCAATTAGATTTCAGTTTTCAATTTTTTATGATAAAAATAGATAAAATAAAAGAAACATAATATTTTCATGTACAGAAATACAAATATGTACAAACATCTGTGGTCTATATAATAGAATCCTTCGCACCCGATTTTTGTATCATGCTCTGTAATCAAAACAAAATACTTGTAATAATATTCTAACGATACATATTAAATTTGCAAAAAGGACTTATCAAAGTGATGGAAGATTTTGATAAGAAACGCGACACTGTTCGCGAACGTGCAAGAGATTGCATTTAACAAATAGACACTTCGTTCGTGAATAACGGAATATATACGCGCACGTTGAAACGACACGTAAACACAAGGATGTGCTCTTTTATGCTGAAGAATTTGAAAAAGAATTCCAATCGTTTAATATTGAAAAATGATGTAGATATATCATTTCATTGTGCTTAAAAATTTGTGCAATGTAACAATCAAAGGTACATTGAAACGGATCGATCATTTTCTTAATCTTCATTTAAATAAATGAAACCTAATATTTGATTTGAAGATCATTCTATTGTTCGAAAATTACTTGTTTCGTTATGCTGGTATAAGCTCCATTGTATCTAAAAGATAAAAGAGTTGCAGGTGTACCTCGATCGCACGAGGATCGTACGAAAAATCCACTGGCTCGCAGTAAAAGTTATAATGGAACAACCAGGCCAGAGTTAATGCCTATAATCACATTCGCACGTTTATATTAGTCTTGGACATTTCAAATGGTCACTTCTTCGTATATTCAAAATGAACATCTGCTGGTTTACCTTATAGAATATATATGAGCACGATATTATCTGTATTAGATCGTATATCTGTATGATTCTATTCAGATTGAAGGGTTTTCTCTTTGCCATGATGTTGGGTCCCAAATCTTGCACGAAGTACAGATAAAATGCTATTATACTCAAGCAACCCCACGGTGATCCGATGAGAAAGTAGTTCTGCGTCCGAGGATCTTGCGGAAACAAGAAGACATTCGCGTAACAAATTTACATCCTCGTGTTGCGTGCAACACAGGCAAGAAATTGTCTTGTTACCTGACAATTCTTCGTTAATGTAACGGTAACCGTGATAAATTCGTCGTATCAACGTCGCCATGCTGCTGCCACTGAATATCTGACAAAGATCCCGACTAACGATCTTTCACAAAAGGTTTCATAAAATCGAGATGGACGATCTTCTGGCGAAACTGGGGTAGAAAAGAACTGAACCTAGTGCCCCTCTCTTTCGTAGGAAATATTATTCTTCCTAAAAAGGGATTGACTACCTTTTAATTCTCAGTCAGTCTTACCGTCGAATTTCATGAACAATGCACCAGGAACGAAAGTAAAATGAATGTAGAGAAAAAACAAAATGAGTCGAAAGGTAAAACGTGAACAAAAAAGTGTTGAAAGCGTGAATTTCAGCGACTATTCTCTTTTAACGAAATATTCTTTTGGATCTGTGGTTTTCGATCGATCAATCGTCAAAGTAACCACTCAGAGCCTTCCGAGTCAACTAAACTGAAAAATGGCAGCAGGACTGATGGAAGCCATTCCCTCCCGCCAAAAATTTCCTCCAGTCATTGTATTTTAATTAATCGCTGGTATCGAAACCAAACGGGTAGCCTGTAGACGATGTTTTCCTTTTCTTCGAGGATATACGATCTTACTTCAGTCTGAACGCAAAACAAGTTTTCCAAATAAGTTTTCTAGAAAGATTTGACGAGGTATAATTCTATGAGTTAATTCCGTGCTGATTTAATGAAGGCTAGAATTCACACGATTGCTACAATAGGATTTGGTTCAATAACTTGTTGATCCTTTCATTTATATTCACCGTTTCATACAAGCTATTATGATCAATGGGCAGAGACTAGAAGTGTTAATTCGAATATTCAAAATATGAAGTAGCTGCCAGTGGCTGTTTCCCAGATACACTTCTTTCTTTCTTCGCTGTTATTGCAAAGGAAATCGTTCGTTTGATATAATAAAGCTGCAAAACTTTTCGACCAAAGAAAAATTTTTATTTAAGATAAAGCTCGTCATATATTGTGGACGAAACTTAATGAAAAATAATTTATGTGTGCTTTTACGTATAATAATACAAGTAAATATATCTATCAGTATAAAGAGTTATATATAATTTATGCAAGTAAATATATCATTATAAATATCATCATAAATATGATATAATAATATATAATATTATCTTATGTATTATATAAAGATATTTGATAACTGGAGATTCACACAACAAAGATTCTACATTAATGAAATTTTCGCGAAGTTTCATAAAAGAATTAATTAATAGCATATATGTGTTTCTCGTAATCACGATTTGTATACAGTAAGTAGAGTAATAACAGATTTATGATATTCCAGTATATTAAAGAAAACAGTAAGAATTTATTACGCGACTGTTTCTGACGATTTTCTTTCATAATCGAGGTCATGCTCGTATATTAGAATTTCGGTTCAAACGTACGTAAAAAAAAGAAATTAAAAAAAAAGATAATATTCATTTGACGGGACGAAAAGTGACGTTTCACGAATGGTAATTTACTAGCTTTTACTTCCTCAGAGAGTTTCAGTGTCATATTGAAAGAAAATTAATATTAATTATTTATTAACATTAATAGATATATAATTATAACACGCCATTACGCTGTTTTTTCGTGTCATTCTGACACGAATATATTGCTTTTATCTACAGTCTTTTCCAGGCAGTTCTCGTTTATAGGTATATATATAGCATATGTGATATCTTTTATTCTTATCTAAAACCGCAACTACGATATCGATGACAAAGTCGATTGTCGAAAACAGTAATAAAGCATCTCCAATGGAAATCTATTATACGTAATCTATTTCGCTTGCTAATCAAATGCATCGAAGAATCGATAATGACCGTGGCCTTACGTGACGCAGCAGACTGAAATCTAATTCGAAAGATCTTTGACACATAGTAAATTGCTTTTTAAATTTTCTCGTGAAACACAAAGAACTTTTCCATCACGAACTTTATAAGGAACGTTGATGAAGAAATTTCATAAACTGGCTTGAAATGTTACATAAATATTAATAGACACATTCATAAATTCTCACTTGTTCTTTGTGTCAATTTGACAAATTCTTCTTCTGAAATATTATATCATTTACAGAGAGTTGAAGCCCCGTGATATCTATTTTTTTTTTTTAAATATATTTTGTCCATTTTATATATTTTTCTATTTCTTCATATATTTTTAACATTTTTGACAACGAAAAATTGTAAATAATGTTCTTTGACAGGCAATATATTGCCTTCGAATTATATACATTCAATGCGTTATTTTTCGAAGCTGCCTTGAATATAATCGTGACAAATAAAAATCCAGAACGGAGCATCGTTAAGACAAAACTAGAAAATAAATTGAATTTCATTTCAATTTAATAGAAATTTAATCTGTTTATTGTTAATGAAAGAATTTGCAATTTTAGCTATTTCTCCTTTTATATTATATTCATTCTTCGTTATTGTGTCGATTTGACGATAAAACAACAAATTAAATTGTAAAGACGTGAAATAGACGAGGATTAAACTTACATATATGTACATTAGAAACGGAATTTATTCAATTAAGGAATTATACAAAGCAGATCTCGCAAGTAATTGGCACGTGTACATTCTGCATAATTTCTAGAAATGACAGTGTAGACGAATGGCATTTTGAAGCGGATGAAGAGGTCCCGCGGGTCTCACGGTCGTGACCCTTAACGACAGAAGGACATTGACCAGAATATAATCAAAGTCCCATTGGCCTTCAACGTCTGTTTTTATTCATTTCGAATTCGTTTCCAAAACGATGATAATAAGTACTGAAGACATTGGAGAAAAAAAATTGAAAAGATCCGCTGTGCAAATTGAAATTAATGGACAAAGAACGTAGGACTTATTCGCAAAACTAAGACTATTCACTAAAACAGATATTTAATTTCAATGTGAAAATTATATATCTGTGTATTCTTTCGTATAAATACTTCCAATGTATAATCGTATGGATGATTCTTTTATGTGATTATCATTTGTTTTCTAATTCTACGCACCATAGATTTTATACTCTGTTATAAATGCACTTCATTAACACCGACATAAGATTTTTTATTGCTAAATGATTTAATATAATATTATAAATACTTTGATCTCTTTAAATCCTGCTATCCTTCTCGGATCAAAATGAATATTATACTTCGATAAATATTAAACTGTATGATAATTTTTAAATATTTGATTTTAAAATCCAGTACAATTTTGCAGTTTCATATTTCACGTATAAACTTTTTATATAAACAAATAAAACGTTGCAAAATGTATAATTTGTTTATAAATATTTTAAAAATTATAATTAAATTACGAGTAAAAAAAATATCGCGGACGTCTGAAGAGACTGAAGATGAAAAAGAAGAGGAGAACAGCGAAATTAAATATAAAATTATAGAATCCAACTACAATGATGAATATATTATATAAATATTGTACAATATATTTATTTATTATAATATGTATTGTATAATATATATAATTACAATTTATATCATAAAATTCAACTGAGTCCGTGGAATTTCCTTCCATAATATTAAAAATTAGAATTTAATTAAAAAGAGTCATGAACGAATCTTTGTCGTTAACGGGTTAAAGGAACAATAAAAGAGACGTTTGAATAGAAAATATTAGACTGTGGAAAAGATGCAAAGAATTCAATAATTTAAAATAGTTCAACGATGGACGTGCTTTATTTTTTTACACTAATATAAATGAAATTATCCTCTGCTGTGTATTGTTTCCGTTTGTATAAAAGATTATTGAATTGAATCGTGAATGAAAATTTAAAAAAAAATACGCTGCATAAATTGAAACTTACAAATACTTCTTTCGAAAGAAAAATCGATAAAGATACTAATTGCTCTGTTTTATCGACGAACGAACCGATTCCACAGATGAGGTATTATGCGATCATTGACTAATAGCACTGATGCAAGTAAATTACAAGAAATATTAAATGATGTTTAAACAATTAGAATATTGAGAAATATCACTTAAAAATTCACTTCGATAGTTTAATCGATGTGCACACGATGAAAATTCAACTTATAATGGCCTTTTTTCCTGCTCAATATTTCAAACAATATTTGCAGATGTATTTTTTTGGTAAGTCCAATCTTTTATAAAATCGAGTTTGCGGGGTAAAGGTAATTCATTCAGGCTGTGAATTTACACATTTGTAAATAAAAAAAAACGTCATATCTAATTATGTTGTTTATAAAAATATCATTTTTCAATCAATTTTTTCTAATGGTTTTCAATAGATGTTAATAGTCAAATATGTACTAAATTTTTTATCCCAATTTTCATCAACCTCTGTTTTAAATTGTTATCTTCCTTCATTGATGAAGTACCATCACGTTCAATTCAATGAATAATTCTGGAAACAAATCTCTAGCAACACTGTCCATATTTTTTGATTTTAATTCTCATCACTAGTAGCGCTGCAATGCAAAACTTGTCTGAATCGGTACGACAGGATGTGACACGAAAATGGTAAAAGGATCTTAAGATCCCGAAATTGTAAGATTAAAAAATACATTAAATCGTATTTTTGATCGTACGATTCCTTTATTAATGACATCATCGAACGTTGCTAATTTAGTGTCTCTTATTACGTTTTTCGACGCAATCCTTTTCTTTTCTTTTTTCGACGTGCGTATGATTTTAAGATACCAGATTTAATTCTTAAAAGTATATATCTTAGCCACAATCTACTTGCTCCTTCGAATCGAGCGAGATTCGTCAAAGATTCTTCATGTGGCTGTAAAAGTTCTCTTTATGATCTAAATTACATAATATGAGCCTGAAGCATTTTTAAACAAGGTAGAAACAATCGAATTTAATATAAAAAAGGAAGAAGGAAGCCCCTTTACATGATCGTACAGCTTTTATTAGATTTAAACCTAAAAAGTAGTTGCATGTAACATGTACATGTACATATATCCCTGCTTGAAAGTTTACAGCATCTTTTTACTTTTCAGACGAAATAAAATATCAAATGTCTTGAGTTGAACACGAAATTATAGTTATAATTTTCATCTTTAAGTGCAACTAATTAAAATTTCAATAGTATGAAAAGTCTAAGTTACTATCTGCCTCTTTTGAGATGCTAACATGATCTAAATTTCTTAGCGAGAGTGTATTGTACATATAAATTTCATATATGCATTACATATACGCGGTCAATGTACAATACAGAATAGAATGGACATTGTTTTCTTTGTGTTTTCGTACTTTTTGATAAGAGAAAGAAGGAAGAAAGAAAGAAAAACAATTTAAAAAAGTCGATGAGCTTGCATATGAATATATTCGATCGAGAAGAAGGCACGCGAACGATAAAGTGTCGCTGTTGCAAAATAATTTAGGGAGATGTTGGAAAAATATTCTTTGCTAGATTCATGGAAGGATCGTTTCACGTTGTCAAACGAAATCGATCGATCAGCAATAAAATATTAACCCTTTGACTGTGTACTCACAGCGCCTTCTGATTGCACTTTACTGATGAAATTATCTCGCACGTACGTTAACACTACAAGAATCGGTTTTTAGAGATCAATAAATTCTGCTAGAAGTCGCAATAGCATCACCGATCCTCGTTGCGTTGATATACACCATCTAATACCATCTTCTAGAGAAACAATCATATTTGTTGATTCACGAGAAAGAAGATATCAGCGTAAAGATTGAAACCTAAGTTCGTACTATGTTCACGTTTCAGAATACATTATACAATTCTTATTATTATACGTTATAATTAGAATGCAGTTTTTAAAAATTTAGAAGTATAATACCCAAACGACACTGTATCAAATACCAAAAATACAATAATTGTTACAATGTTTAACTGACAAAATAAATTGTCTGTCTAGCCCTTTTAATCATCTTCACAAAAATATAAATTCGCATAAAAATCTGCAGTCTACCTATAATCCGATACATACATATTATTACATATTATTATTGAGCGCCAATTTTTATTACATCATCGTGTTTCATTCGTCAAGTAAAGTCACACGTCTTGTACACAACAATCAGTCGTTATTCTACGACGATTGTTGTGCGCTGTGCATGCAGCAGTTATCAGAGTGCGCCGCAATCAAGGGGTTAAACGCTAGAGAACTGTATGCCTAACGGAAGTGGAGTTTGTTCCTTCGTAACGAAGTCTATGTAATGAGCGAGAAACGAATTACGTCGACGACACCGTCTCATTCCGTTTTGTCCGCCGTAGCGATTGTCTTCCTCTTCTTTTTATCCTGCTTGTAAGTGTTCACGTAGAACGCGCTGAACAAGTAAATGAACCACAGCGTGTTTATCATGAGTAGGGTTGCCAATAGCAGCGGGAAGTTGCACCCATTGAAGAAGAGTTGAGAGGTATGTATGGCGATTAAGACGAATTGAACCAACTGCAGCATCGTTATATACTTCTTCCACCAGAGGTATTTGTTCATGTGCGGCCCAATCGAGGCTAGCATATAATATCCGTACATAATTATGTGAACAAAGGCATTGATCACGCCCAAGAACGTCAGATGGCCGTTCGGCACGAATTTGATTCCAACCCAAGCGCAAAGCGGCATTAGAGCGTGATGATAGAGGTGAAGCACCGAGATTTGACGGTCCTTCTTCCGGAGGACAAAGAACACCGTGTCCAGCATCTCTATCAGCTTGCACATCATGTAAAAGTGTACGCCGTTCGCCATCTGCAAGTTAGAATTTTGTCAGCGTTAACTCGCGATATTCGGTCGACGTCTTCGGGTGACATTTCCTATAAACGTCGCGCCAGACGCATTTACAGCGAGGAGCATAATTATTAATTATAATATGCTCTTCAATATTTTAAACTTCTAGAAAAAAAAAGATAAATAATATAACGATTCGGTTGATCTTTACTTTGACAGTTCGTTTTCCTTGACGATACTTTTACACCGTGTGGGAAAGTACTTTCGAAAATTGAAAAAATTCAAAAGTCTCTAGAAAAATGCTTTTCACTGCTGAATTCACCATGATTTTGAAGATTGAAGTTTCCCCAAAAGTTACTGCGCGATTTATTTCTTGTTTTCGTCATTTTATTGAACTTCGATGACCATTAGGGCGCAACGCTAGCAAATCTCACCTTAGTTTAGCGAATTATGGTAAAAAGATACCCTTATAGATAACGGATTGTTCGAATAGTCGACAGGCTGGCAACGGTAATTGTATTCGTACAACCATCCACTCATCAATCCTTCGTAAAAGAGGTATATACTAAGTAGCACTTGTATGAAATTGTACACTATCAAGGTGGTTCTCAGCTCGTACGGCTTCTTATCCTTCATGTACCTCGGTCCGGCGAATAGACAAAAGTATACATAAGTGGCTATGATCATCACCATGGGACCTAGTCCTGATACTAGAAACCAGTCTTTCGTCAATGGATCTGAAACAGTTAAATCGAGGTGTTAGGAATCTCGTATTATTTAAAGTGAAGTTTCCCGTGAGCGTTAGACTCGCGTACTGCTTTTATTTTTAATCTTTTGCACATTTAGAATTACTAAAAACTTCAATACTGAATTTATCTTAATATACTGAGCGCATTCATCTTTAAACGTATACTCTTGATATGTTCATTTAATATATTTTAATACGTTATCCTCCTCGAACAATTACTTTATCGCTGATTATAAGATTATTTGCGCGATACTAAACAAATTTACAAGTTTCACGTTACAAAGGTTTAATATTCAGTGTTTGTCGTAGATGATTGATTGTCAATGCATATTTTTTATTGAAGTGTTATTTCATCGCCTCAGGTCTCGAAATAAATACACAGCCGTGGCAAGAAGTTGTCGAGCAAGTATTCGAATGTATTCAGAATCGTAATTGTCCAAGTATCAAATGCTTCCTTTCAATCTGCAGATACGAAAGATTTCGAACACTTACGTTCTGTTGACAACTTTCTGCCGGGATAGTAATACTTCTAAGACCTCTGAGCGAGGCTCTGTACAGTCAAAAGTCGCGCGTTGAAAATCAGAATTACGATTCTCCATTCGTCCGACGCTCATTGGAAATTTTTTCTCTACTTTCGTATAGATATTCATTGGTTTCTTACGGGATTTGTTGTGCATGGCATCTTTGTACCACTCCACGATGCCCGACATTGTTCTTGATTCTTGGCAAGACGAACCTGAAAGAAAAAGATACACACATCGTCTTAATTGATCCGGCTATCCTTGCGTTGTGAAATTAGGAGATAAATCACTGCGGACTGCTATATATGCGATTATGTTTACGCGGCGTATAGTAAACCCAGTGGTAAAGTGATTTATAGGAATTCCGTGTTGTTAGTGCATAATTACGGAATTGCTGCATCCGGCGATCGAAGCTAAGCCTATTCATTGAATGTTTCCCTTTCGACGGATGCCTGGCAAATTCTAATTAAATGCCGTGGAGAAATCTTAGATGCGAGAAATTTCTTGGAAACTAATGATAACAGGTAATCGAAAATAGCCAGGGGATTTCGAAACGTTCGCCTGCGCGGACGGATTTTCAAACTTTTTTACACATCGACACATTGGAAGATGAACGCAAGAGAATACCAGGTGAAAGGGAAATGCAAATAAATAGCTTCAAGATGATTAGTTAGAATCGCCTTAAGCGTTTAAAGAGGAGAGCCTCTTCGAGAGTCGATCAAGGAAAAAATACAAAAAATACGAAAATATTATTTCTCTCATTGTTTGTGATTCAAAGAATTCTATGAAATTATTTATTGCCATTTACGTGTTCTTCAATTTTCCGTGAAGTGTTCTGTTAGAATGTTGATTCAGGTTACTTTTATTATATAAGAAATAAAGTAATTGAACAGTAGACGTGTTCAACCAAAACGCGATGTCCAGAATGTCTAAACAGTGGACAGCAAAGAATTAATCTACGTTTGTATGAGCGACAATGTGTGACTGAACGAAAAAATACAAATTGCCGTCTATCGATCACTGTCTTATTTAATATTTCGTCAGACATAGTGGTAATAAAAAATGTGTTCGAATATTTCGATACGGAACCTGTAATTTTACAAATACGTTTCAATACGTATTTTTCGTAATGAATAGATTGCGGATTTTTATGGAACTTCGCGCAATATAACTAAGAAAATAGAGTCGCCGTAGAAAATCATTTCAGAAAATATTACACCTTTTGATATTTGTAAATTCAGTGCAATTTTTCTTTTTAAAATCTTGTATAACTGCATGAAAGTTTGCAAATAATGATTTTTACAAAATGAATGTTTACAGTAGTAAAGTATTTTTGCCGCAAGAGAGCAATGCGAGATTTTCACAGATTCTGCTCGTACGACTTTGTAATTTCAAATGATATTTCTATACTTAGAAAAATTGTCACTGAGAGAGGGTTAATATCACGTGCGACAGCGAAAAATATAGCGAAACGAAAGCACGTCCTTGTGTCAATGCACGCGAACAGTTTTCGAATTGGTTTACCTTGTTCTAATTATATCTCGAACTATTATCAGCGGAATGCAGCTGACTAAAGTATAATATAATATCACGCTGATATATATATATATATTTTTTTTTAATCGGTAGATATGAGTGTAATTATTTCGTGCAATTATTCTAACTTAAAATCTCTATGAATTATACAAGCAGCCAACGATGACGTTAGGAAACGAGACGAGTTGTGATTTATTCATTTATTCGAAATTTACTATTTTGAAATTTTAATTGTCTCTTTTTTTCCGAGCGACTCAGTTGAAATATGTTTACTCATCTTACAACGCATAAAACTCAGTCTTACGCATAAAATTCAAATACTTCAATAATCATATCTCGGATTATTTATGCACGTATTGAAAATTTGAAAGTTGCACGAAATGCATATAACAATACATAATATGTAAAGCAACCAAAATGTGATGCTTTTCGTAACATGCACAGCAATTTTTTATCTCGATTTTATTATTCTCGAAAATAGGAAGGAATTTAAAAAATCGAAATTTCAAAAATTAAAGTGTAAGCATTAATTCATTTACTAATTACACAAATGTCTTATACAATGTAATTTTTCATTTCCACATAAATGTTTATATAATCTTTTGTTTCACACGACTGATAAATGAATGAGTTACATTTAGTTATTATTTCTTTCTCTTCAAATTATTTAACGTTTAAATTATTTCTTTTTCTCTTTAAATATTTGATTTTTATAGACTGATTGTATATCTCGATCTGGAAACGATCAACTTCAACTAGTATTAACTAATATTAACCATAATTAACTTTAATTGTGACTTGATTGCAATAATTGACTTCGATTGCAAAAAGTGATGTTTGTCGACTGTGAAATATAAATAAATTGGAGTGGAAAATTGAAAATGAAGTAAATACACATATATTACATGTGCAATTAAAGTGTAAAAATAACGATCGATTAAAGTGTAAAAATAATTTTCATTTACAACAACGTACGTACGCATGATAATTATGGATAGATTTTCGTGAGATTCTATTTCTCGTTCTATGTACACGTTCCTTTTGTCGTAAGAAACACTTTTGGCACAATTCACAAATGATTTGATTTTAACCAACGAATTAAATCAAAATTTACGAATCGTTCGGAAATCTATCTCTCTGTTCTGAACTTCGGAATCCACGTGTATACTTGAACAAGCAAACTTGACACTATGACATTCTAATCAATTCTCGAGACGCAGTTGAATGCTCCAATGTCAGTGAAAAAGAAAAAGAAAAAGACTTTTTGTCTAAGATCTCGAATCTTGTTTGAACTGAGTGTAAGAAGTAGCCGTACGATTAACTTTCTAAATATCTCGATCGCGTATCAGCGATAAGAACTCGTCGCAGTGTTCAGACGTGTAACGACGATGAATGATCGAGAGAACGATCGAAATTTCGTAATAAAAAAGCGGGCTGAAAAGCGCCTCGTCATCGCGGAACAAAGAAACCGCTCTGGGCAGTGATTAAGGAGAGGAAGAGGACAATGAAACAGGTTACTCGCGGAATAAAAGATCGTCGCTGAGAGATGAGGGATGCAGTTAGATTCCGTAGCTTCGAGCGTGCAGGCTTGAAAAGGGGGCAGAAACCTCGTTGGTGACTACTAGTCGTGAGCCAAGGTGAACGGGATCGTTAATGCGCGCTGTTTTACTCTGTTCAATTTCGTCGTCGGAGCACTTGCCTGTCCACTTTCGTTATCTTCATATATGGGTCTAACAATCTCTTAACAGAGCGCAATGACCTCGAGTACACATCTACCTGTTGGGATTCCCCTGCATCAAGTTCTCTTTTCTTCTTTTTTTTTAAACTTCTCTCTCTCTCTCTCTCTCTGACTTCTGCATTTCGACTTGCAATCAGGAACTCCGTTTTCTCTATCTTCGATTCTGTTCGGTCCTTGTCAGAATATGCGGACAAATCAATGCAAAAACGAGTCGGAAATCGAATTTGGGAATACTTATCAAGTATGCTAGAATTCGACTAATTTTAGATTGGGGTGATTATCTGATCGAAGCAGGAAGTTCTACCTGCGAAAAAAGTGACTGAGATACGTGTAAATTTTTCTTTTAAGGCCTCGTTTTCGTAAAAGAATGGAATTTGGACACATTCAGTTGAGAAATATTCAGACACAATCTTTTTCTTGAAAACGAAACGTCTGACGAAGAAGAATTATTATTTTACATATTTGACAGATTTTCGTAGCACTGAAGCATGAAGCCTTGATTTTATTTCCTCTTTTCGTCTCGTTTTTGTATGTAAAATTACCTCCTAGTCGCTTGTCTATGATTTGCGAGATACCTTATATATAGACTGTAGTTTTTGGAACATATGTAATGCACGTAACAGGCAAAAATCCGTAAAAATATCGAAACAAGACATATATTTAAAGGAATGTTCTCACTCTAATGTCTAACGAGGGAAATAATTCTCCACGTCCGTTTCGTTCAGATTAATTATGCTCGTAAAAATACGTACAAAATTGCGTAAACATCCGCTGTCTAGTGACGCGTTGTGAAAAGATCGATGAGTGGAAACACGAGTCGGAGTTCTCACAAAGAGAAAAACAAGCATTTCGCGATTGTGGCTGCGGTGTCGTTAAATGAAATATGACGAATGCGTTCCTTTAAATTATTTGTTCCATGTTATTCAGACGTTATCCTTCGATTTCTTTCGCCAGATAAATGGTTGCGTGTTTTCATTATGGGCGAGTTATGGTGCAACGATCGAGATCGAAACTGGTTGCTGCCCGACAAGTTGAAAATCCCACGGCACAACTTGGCGCGAACTGTCGTGGAAGTTGAAGTTGATCGAGCCAGGAATACATCACGTATTTATATATCTGGCGCGAAAAAAAGGAAACCGAGCCTGCCAGCTCGGGTCAAGGTTCAAGCCACTATTGAATTCTACGGGCTTGCTC